ATGAAACAGAATTGCCATGCTAAATAACTCCAGGCTCCTTGCTCTGTCCTCATAAGTTCCATGTTCCCATGCTGGAGTGTGAAAGTCAAAAGAACAGAAAAGGAATTTGGAACTTCACTTTAAATTACTAATGGATGGAAGACGAGGACAAAAGGTAAAATGTAGCTATAAAATGAGTTCTGAGATGTTAACGAATGAGTCACAGATAACCATAGCCAAGCTTTAGAAACAATGGTGTTCTGTGGCATGCTAGCTCCCTCCCAGAGTCAACCCAGGTGGTTAAGGTTTGTCTTCAATGTGTTATCTAGAGACAACTGTTCATTGGGAGTCATTTGCGGTTTTCACTCTGGACAATTCTGTCCCTGGGCTTGCATGACACAGTGGTCAAGTCAGTGATTGCTCCGTGGTCTGACGCAACCTATTTGCAATCATTTTCAGAAAATGTAATTTACACAAACTCAGATGAAACTGACCAGAATTGCTTCAAATGGGAAAGAGGAAGATTTTTTCAAGTTCAAAATTACCCAAGATCAGAGGTGTCAATAGACTGATCAAGTAGTAGACAGATTAACAGATATGCAGAATACACACACACACACACACACACATACATATACACACACACACACACACACACACACAAATCATGTCATAGTTACAATGTGCAATACAGACTTTGAAGCCCATTGAGCCAGGGACAAACTAGCTGATCACATATGATCTTTGTTCTTGTTTAAAGTCTCAATTTAGCCCAAGAAGGCCTTGGACTTTCTGTGCATCCAACAACAGCACCCTAACTCTTGATCTTCCTTCCTCCCATTCCAAAGACCTGGGATTGTGTTCACCAGGAGAGCTGGGATTGTGTTCACCAGGCCCAGACCACACTATCTCTTGGAACTCTCCTTCTGTAAGGATGGAGTGTGTGTCCTTGGTTCTTAAAGCTGGCTAGACTTTGTGGCACAAAACTGTCCCCCAAATCTGGTGAAGATATTATTTTAAAAGAATATTAGACTCTTATCTCTCATAAACATATATTGTTGGAATGCAGTGATTCATAAAAGAAATATTCGACTATAACCTAATGGCATTTGCCCAAGAAAATCAAACTTGGCTTAACTTTAGAAAATTGATCAATTTGGTGACATTTCCATGCGAACATCACAGATTGTAATTTATCATATTAATAAAGGGGAAACAAGGATAACCATCAAAACAGAGCTAAAAAAGTTAATACCTCAGCAGTGAAAACAAACCCCTCAACAGACTAGGTCAAGAATAAAGCTTTCTCGAACTGATAAAACACATCTATCAAATATCTGCAACTAATATGCTGTAAAAATAAGATCAAGAGAAAGGCAAGGATCTCCACTCATAACTCACAGAAAATACAATAAAGCCATATAATTTACAAACATTGGGAAGATATGAATATGACTACCATTATTTGTGGATGATTTGATTGTATACAGAAGATATTCAAGCTAATCTACATACTCCTAGTGCTATGCAGCACATGATTTTAGCGAAGTTACCAGATACAAATCAATATAAAATGTAAATGACAGTTCCATATATATAACTTAAAATACTCCATTACAACAGTTTAAAACCAGAAAATACCTAGGAGTAATTTTACCAAAACAAAATATTCTTTTGTACTGAAAATGAGGGACATACCAATGGGAAAATTGAAGCCTTAATTAAATAAATAGAAAGATGAATCAGTGCTGAATATTGATAAATTGTTGATTATAATACCAAAGTGCTGTCACTTCTTCTAGATATTGTTAAACAGGTTTTAGCATGTGTATAGCAAAAAAGACCCCAAACAATTTTGACAGTCTAAAGAACAAAGGCAAAGTTGAGGAAATACACTGTGTGTGTGCATTCACACATGCCTGTATATACATGCATGCCATGTAGTGTATATGTAGATGTCAGGGGACAACTAATGAGGACCGCTTATCTCTTTCCATCATGTGCTTCCCGAAATCATACACATCATCAGCCTTAATGGAGGGTATGTTTACTCACTGAACAATTCTGACAGTCATAGTTTTTCGTGTGTGTGTGTGTGTGTGTGTGTGTGTGTGTGTGTGTGTGTTTCATGATGCTACAGGTCTTTTTGCTATAAATCTGAACTTTAATGTGGCTGTTTTCCTACTTCTACATGACCACAGCTGTGATTTTGCAAGAAGCAGTTTCACTCCTCAATACTGTATGGTCTGAGCTATCGTCATTTCCTTTCTGTTGCAAACTTACTTGACCTTTTCTGAGCCCATTTCTTTCTTGCAACATGCTCATTGCTACCAGTATTCTTCTTTGACATCTTTATGATGACACAAGTTCCTCTGATGTTCTCCCTGTCCTCTAGAATATACCACTTGGCAATGTGTTAACTTCAATCTCATTTTATTAGTAGGATGTGTGGATTTGTGTATATGTGTGCATCTGTACACACACATAAGTGGTATCCAACTGTCGCGTCTGCTGCGCGGCCTGTGTCCGAGAACATGCGGAGGGTGTCGGGGATTGACAACACAGAGACTCGTTCAACGATGTAAAGAAAACTTTAAGCAGGCTCCAAAAAGGTTCAAGAAAACTTCCTAAGAAAGGCTCCCACCAGAGAAGCTTCTGCTCTCTCCTCTACCCTGGCTGGTTCTGCCCTGACCCCAGAAACTGATCTGGGCGTGGCAGAAGGGGCGGTTAGTCTTTGGACAAGGTCGAGGTCAGGGTGGTTTCTGTAGGCAGACCTTTTCCAGGAACTTAATGCCCCCAGGCATTGTATTGTTTTTAGCAAACATGTCTTTAGATTGTCTTACAGCTGCCAACTCCCAGGCAGAAGGGGAAGTGGGTCTCTACTCAAGGTCTGGTGTTCCCACAATTCACCCCTTTTTATTTTTAAATGAGGCACTCCTGGCTTAGGTCAAGTAGGGTCACCCTCCCTTTCCCGTCATTGGGGGACCTTGACCCCTGTCTTAGGCGGGAGGGGTCTTCCCCACAGGTGGCCCGTCATCAGAGCACCCCAACTTTAAATCATCTGTAACCAACCTTCATGGCTATCGGGATTGCCATGGGCTAGGCTAAGCAATACTTGGTTACGGATCTCTTGCCTCTGGAACAAGGCACGTTTGAGCCCGGCATAAAGCCAGAATGCCTACCGCCACTGCCACCATTTCCAGGACCCCCATTGACATAGCGCCTCTCCATCACCGTACCCATCACCAGATCTGGGCCATAACATTCTACCAGCCTTCGTCTGTTACAAGGGTAACATGTCCGTGATTTACATTCTGTTACAAGGGTAACCCGCATGTGACTTAGATTTACAATTTGATAAAGTTTACAATTGTTCCAAGATCTGCTCAGGAAAGCATTTAGAAAGTGCACTTGCACAGATACATTAGGTACAATCATTGATGTTACACATGTAGCATTATGAAAAATATGAACAATAGGCTTGTTGCACTATCCACAGAGCACCAATTTGTTCCTGTGGTGATGCAGTTTGTTGATTTAACGTCAGCTGATTATGCGACTTGAGTCAAAGTCTCCTTTTTGTCGCATTAGGACAAGTTGCACCTCTCTAGAAAAATACACTGGCCTAGTCGTGATTCCAGAAACAGGAACCATCAAGTCTGATATTTCAAGTGACCATGTCCTGTTCAATTACTTAAAAGAGGCTTTTGCCCCTCATCACAGTCCATACCAATGTCCAAAGGTTTTAAATGGGTCCTTTTTTCTCTATTGGCTTCATGATGAAAACTCATGGGTCCGGAAGGTTGATGCAGCAGGTCTGTTGAGAAACTGGAAATATCGAACCGACTGTTTTCTTTCTTTCTTGGGCTCTAGATTCGATGACAGCAAGGGTCAGGAACACTGATTTAGGAGATCTCACTCAAACTGGCTTAGGTAGGCTCCCATGGACTCAGGTCCAGTTTTTCTCTGCTCCATGTCGAAGCTTTTATTCTTTTCCTACAAGAAAACACAAACATGCCCTCGACCCCAAATTAGGGTCTTCTCCACTGTTTAGTGCATGGATGTCTCCATTTGACCTGAGCAATGGTTGCTCAAGTTCCATCATGCCAGAATCTGTCTGAAGCTCACTGGCATTCACATTATAAAATTTTTAAATGAGGAGTGTATTATTTGATGAGTCATGTGGGGACTGGGGACATTATTCCCCCTTTTTATTTTCTAAAAAATTTTCTTTTTTGAACTGTTGAAGCTGAACCATAACAGTAGAAGGATTTGTCTACCCTCCTTGGTTAACTATCTAGGTAAATTGGGATTACTACTTAGATTATTTGTAGATGCCCATTAAAAAGGACATATCCATTAAATATTTCCCAAAAACTTCTGAAAATCACTCAAAGATTGTAAACTATACTGTGTCCAAATAACTTTTGAAAATTATTTGAAGTCTGTGAGCAGTCTTTCCCAATCTAACCTATAGAGCTCTCACTAGCTGACAAGGCCTTATTTGTATCTTAAATTTTTCTGTTAAAACATTAACAGACTGGCTGGATGTTCCTTTTGTCTATATTTCAAGCAATCTAGGTAGCTTCTTAACTATTTTTGAAGGGATTTAAGTATCCTTTTAATCATATAAGCAGTTCACACTCATGCATTCACAATCACATTTCATACATACCGGTGTGGCCACACCATACATTCAGAACATACATGCATCTTTCAGTCATCCTTTTTCCCTAGGTCATGATTAGTCTGTTGCAATGAAGCTACCTTAATTGAAATCTATGTAAAAGAACAACTCCAGCCAATCCTTGAACTAAAAGGTTAAAAAGTCCTGTATGTTCTTTATCATTCCTCCATTTGAGCTACAGTCATGGGGTACAGCTGTACCTACTCCTTGTAACTGTAGATGCAAGGTAGAGAGGCCAAGCTTTTGGCCAAAAGTTTTTAGAAATGACTCACAAAATAGAACTTAAATGTAAACAAAATTTTCCATTCTATATACCTTTGCCTTTTTCTTTTTCTTTACTTAATACCAGTACCTTTTTACTGTCCCGTCCAGCAGGCCAGGTTATTTACTGGGTCTCGAGCGGGTGTCACCTGTAGGAGTCAAACGGGGGGGAGAGAGAAGTGGAAGCCAAGCGCGTAAAGAAAGAGTCAGTCTGAGTTGCGTCAAGGCTTCGTTTATTAGCTAGCAAGGTCTCATTTTTATAAAGCAGTTTAGGCAGGGCGGGGGATGAGGACAGGGGCAATGGAAAGTACCGGGCCCGGGTACAGAAGGAAATATTTCTTATAGAACACCTTATGTTTAGCCTGTTCCAGGAACCAATGTATGCATGACCAGTTTGTTCATAATAACTTTTCAATTCCAATTGTTTCAATTCAAACTGCCACTTAGTTCTGCTACAACTTAAAGGTCTCCGGGGCTCCAACATTTTACTGTTACAAATTTTTTGTTTCACCCATTTTTTTTTTTAAATCAGGGTTTCTCTGTATTGTTTGAGGCTGTCAGTCCAGCCTGGCCTCGAACTCACAGAGATACGCCTGCCTCTGCCTCCCCAAGTGCTGGGATTAAAGGCGTGTGCCACCACCGCCCAGCTTGTTACCAATTTTTTTTTTTCTGTATTATTTGGAGGCTGTCTTGGAACTTGCTCTATAAACCAGGCTGGCCTTGAACTCAAGAGATCTGCCTGCCTGTGTCTCCCGAGTACTGGGATTAAAGGCGTGTGCCGCCAACGCCCGGCTATTCACCCATTTTCAATCCAACTTTCAACCCAGGATATTCCCTCCTGCAAAAAGCCTTAAGATTTACACAATCCACCCTCCAATTGAGGGCAATCTCTGGGCTCCCCTCCCCCCCCACCTTAGTGTCAGGCTAAGGCCTAGAGATTTAATCCAATCCCCCCTCCAACTGAGGGCGATCTCTCAGGGTCCCCTTACTTTCCTGACCTTTGTCAGGCGAAGGCCTGGAGATTTCATCCGGTACCCCTAGCTTGGTACCCCTTTTTAACACATCCACATAGCCTTACTGGCTAGCCTTTTAGATCTCTCAGTTCCCCTTTACTTTCCTGACCTCAGTGGATCAGGTAAAAGACTGGAGATTTTTTATTTTATTTCTTATTTTACCCCTTTTTTTTTTTCATTTCTTTTTTTTTTTTTTCTTTTTTTTTTTTTTTTTTTTTTTTTGAGACTGGGTTTCTCTCTATCCTTTTGGAGGCTGTCCTGGAACTTGCTCTATAGACCAGGATGGCCTCATTCCTTCCTATCTCTGCCTCCCGAGTGTTGGGATTAAAGGCGTATGCCACCAACACCCGGCTCTCTGAATATCATAGCAAACATCCTCCCAATCTGGGACATTTAAGCCTTCCCCAGTAATGAACCATGGGCTCCCTCGTTCAATCCATTTTAAAAAGCCTGCCATGGTTGTAGTCCCCTGTTCTTCAAGCAACTTTTTTACGTGATACTGTAATTTAAACTTCCAGGGACTATCTCCCATTGTTTCTTTTCCTATTTTCCTCCATCTGTCCCTGGATGGCAAAAGGGACCACCCCGTCCACTTACCTCGCTGTCATGATCTCGGTAGGACCTCCAATTGTCGCGTCTGCTGCGCGGCCTGTGTCCGAGAACATGCGGAGGGTGTCGGGGATTGACAACACAGAGACTCGTTCAACGATGTAAAGAAAACTTTAAGCAGGCTCCAAAAAGGTTCAAGAAAACTTCCTAAGAAAGGCTCCCACCAGAGAAGCTTCTGCTCTCTCCTCTACCCTGGCTGGTTCTGCCCTGACCCCAGAAACTGATCTGGGCGTGGCAGAAGGGGCGGTTAGTCTTTGGACAAGGTCGAGGTCAGGGTGGTTTCTGTAGGCAGGCCTTTTCCAGGAACTTAATGCCCCCAGGCATTGTATTGTTTTTAGCAAACATGTCTTTAGATTGTCTTACAGCTGCCAACTCCCAGGCAGAAGGGGAAGTGGGTCTCTGCTCAAGGTCTGGTGTTCCCACATCCAACATCTAGTTTCACTGTCTGAATAAGTCTATTGCTGTTATGTTACAAATTCAAGATTTGAACAGCTTGCAGTAAACATTTGTTTTCATCTTTGCAGGTCTGTATGTTTCAGAGGTTTGGCTAATTTACAGTTGGCTTGGCTTTGCTGAGTAAAATCTATTTCTGGTCGGATTCATTTTCTTTACACATATTTTCTTCTCTAGACCTGTATGAAGTGGTTCCAGACACCTGCAGTGTGCTCTTTTGTGGTAATTAGAAGCTAAAGACTTTTTATCATGTATGTTGACATTACAATGACCACACAATAAAACAAAATCAATCCAAAATGTCAATCAATCAGAGCAGTATATTCTACCCATTATGACAACCAAAGCAGGTATAACTCCACAGCAAGAATGCTGTGCAGGAGAGGAAACCTAGGTAGTTATCTAATCCACTCTCCCTAAGTAAAAGAAACAATTCAAATGGAAGGATGCTAAATCTATTTCCAACGAAATCAGAAATGAGACCAGAAAGAACCACAGCCAGCAATAACAGGGCACAGCATCGCAATGAAGAGACATTAGCCAATGTAGAATAAGTTTGCCATGTTCCCTGAGTAGAGCCCATGTGACAAAGTGAGCTGAATCAGACTCAGTCAGACTCAGTGGCAAAGCAGGCCACATCAGAATGGGAATCTTGGCCGGGCGTTGGTGGCTCACGCCTTTAATCCCAGCACTCGGGAGGCAGAGGCAGGCGGATCTCTGTGAGTTCGAGACCAGCCTGGACTACCAAGCGAGTTCCAGGACAGGCTCCAAAAGCCACAGAGAAACCCTGTCTCGAAAAAGCAAAAAAAAAACAAAAAAAAAAAACCAGAATGGGAATCTTGGAAACTGGAACCCTGGTTACTAGTTCGGGCATCAGCCTTCCTCAGTTTCCAAATGTGATATCTTCAGTTAAGGTTGTTTTCCTAAATTGCCACAGCCAGTTTGTAAAGCTGTGGGCAGAAAGGCATCCCTGTGAATTCTGAGGCCTCTAAGCAGCTGTGGTGATAGCAAATTACAAGGCCAAAGCTCCCCCATCTCTGTGTCCTGTTCCTGAGGTCTGCATTCAGACTTAAACCCGGGAAATGACTTGTACTGAGGGATGGTGGAGATCAAATTTGGACATTGTTCTTTTGGAACTCCCCACCTTGGGTTTCGTTCCTCAATTTTGTCTTTTCTTTTTGAGATGGGAATCAAGTGGTTTTGCCTGAAAGAAACTGAAGAGACTGGGAAGCAATTGCATTGGTTAGATTCATTCATATCAGGGAATGATTCGAATCAGTTTTCAGCAAGTCCAGGGCCCTCTGGTTTTGTAGGGTCACCAAGATTAGGCTAGAGGGATGATCTCATTTTAGGGCAGTTGCAGGCTGTAGCTAGATGGTGTTTGTGAGCTAAGTGAAAATCTGCTGGGACAGATACAGACTGGGGACAGACAGTAAAGTTAAGGAGTTAGGGAGAATCTTCAAATGCTACCGCAGGTATGTATGCCTTTTTGACTGGGAGGTCTGGAAGACAAAAAGAACACACATCCAGCAGTAGGGGAGGAAGGAGTCCATTTGTCCATTTGACCATTGATGAAGGAAGCCATTTGATGGTTCCAAGTCACAACCTCCCAAAAGCTTTATCAATCTCTAAAGCTGACAAAATGGATAGAAGTATTAGATGCATTGGCATAACCACTGTCTGTAATTTGCACTGAAATTCTCAGGGTAGAAGGATGAGTTAACAAGTGTCTGCTAGCAGCTTAAGTAACAAAAATAAAGCCTAGAGAGTTATTAATGTGGTGGAAGCATGAACATTCGTCAGTAGTAAGACAAATTCCCTACCAGGAACAAAAGGGAAAATCTCAAGGATCCAAAGGATGGCTCTGGGATAAAGGCAGGAACACACTTTTCTTCTGTCCAGAGGACTGGATAGATTGCACAGAGATTTTTTTTTTTAGCACAATAAGTACTTTTAAGTCAATATTTAGAACACAACCAAAGAAATGCAGTTTTTAGCCTGTGACTAAGATAATCTAAAAACACTGATTTAGTAGCTGAAAAGCCCAGGAATATTGCATGCTCTGTAGTGACCAGCCTCGCCTTTTTAGCAGCCATGACTGGCTAACATGTGCTTGCATGACCTTGCTTCTCCTGTCCTGGTCACTAGGAAGTCAGATCCCCTCCTCATGGCAAGGAGCCAATCAGAAGTTAGCTGGCGGGGCTGTGCTTTAAGGCTCTGGGTGTGCTTTACGGACAGTGCACAACAGTGACTTGCAGAACATAGCAACCGTCCTGGGAGGGCCTATGGGCCATAACAACCAGTTGACCAATCAACACAGAGCTGGTCACCCAAACCTGGAAATGCACCAATCCTGAGACTGTTTCATACCCTTAGACACTGCCTTGAGGTTGCTTGGGGTCTTTCTCCAGCCATTCACCATGGTGGCGGGGTGAAGAGCCCGAGCTAATAGGGTTAGCTCGTTAAACATCTACAATAAAAGACTCTTTGTTTTTGCATCGAAATGGGCCTCTTGGTGATTTGGGGGTTCAGATATTGGGCACAACAGCTCATAGTCTATCTATATACATATTCTAGGGAAATTTGTAACTGATAGCTACTGTGGACAAAGATTAACTTTTAACAATGTCTTCTACATAACCCTCCATCATACATTCCATTCATCTGGGGGTGTGAGGCAGCTTTAGGCTTTGACAAATATCTTGAACTAATATCCTGTAATCAAAAGTCATGAATCTTGGAGTGTAGTGTAACTCAAGGACTAAACTCAAGGTTATAAAAATTACTCTGACTCTCCCCAAGGCCTAATCTGAAGATTGTAAGAATTCTTTGACTCACTACCTGGCATATGTTTTTTTTTTTTTTTTTTTTTTTTTTGCTGTAAGAAGGGGCTGGTTGCCCTACTCAATGTCACAGTGTCAGAATCCAGACTCTCTCTGTGGTCCTAGCCACAGCTAGAAGTTTTGGAACCCCTAGGTGTTAGGAATAAAGTTTGCTTCTGGTTAATAGACTTTGATGGTCTAGTCCCCATTGTTTGGGCAACACTGGGATCTAGCAGTAGTCAGTGCTTTACCAAGGCTAGACTAATAACTTAGCAGAACTCCTTGGATAATATGTTAAAAATCTGAACGTTTGAAGTCTTAACGTCATGCATTATCTGTTGTCGCGTCTGCTGCGCGGCCTGTGTCCGAGAACGTGCGGAGGGTGTCGGGGATTGACAACACAGACTCGTTCAACGATGTAAAGAAAACTTTAAGCAGGCTCCAAAAAGGTTCAAGAAAACTTCCCAAGAAAGGCTCCCACCAGAGAAGCTTCTGCTCTCTCTTCTCTCCTGGCTGGTTCTGCTCTGACCCCAGAAACTGATCTGGGCGTGGCAGAAGGGGCGGTTAGTCTTTGGACAAGGTCGAGGTCAGGGTGGTTTCTGTGGGCAGGCCTTTTCCAGGAACTTAATGCCCCCAGGCATTGTATTGTTTTTAGTAAACATGTTTTTAGTAAATTGTCTTACAGCTGCCTACTCCCAGGCAGAAGGGGAAGTGGGTCTCTGCTCAAGGTCTGGTGTTCCCACAATTCACCCCTTTTTATTTTTAAATGAGGCACTCCTGGCTTAGGTCAAGTAGGGTCACCCTCCCTTTCCCGTCCTTGGGGGACCTTGAACCCCTGTCTTAGGTGGGAGGGGTCTTCCCCACAGGTGGCCCGTCATCAGAGCACCCCAACTTTAAATCATCTGTAACCAACCTTCATGGCTATCGGGATTGCCATGGGCTAAGCTAAGCAATACTTGGTTACGGATCTCTTGCCTCTGGAACAAGGCACATTTGAGCCCGGCATAAAGCCAGAATGCCTACCGCCACTGCCACCATTTCCAGGACCCCCATTGACATAGCGCCTCTCCATCACCATACCCATCACCAGATCTGGGCCATAACATTCTACCAGCCTTCGTCTGTTACAAGGGTAACCCACACGTGATTTACATTCTGTTACAAGGGTAACCCGCATGTGATTTACATTTACAATTTGATGAAGTTTACAATTGTTCCAAGATCTGCTCAGGAAAGCATTTAGAAAGTGCACTTGCACAGATACATTAGGTACAATCATTGATATTACACATGTAGCATTATAAAAAATATGAACAATAGGCTTGTTGCACTATCCACAGAGTACCAATTTGTTCCTGTGGTGGTGCAGTTTGTTGATCTAACGTCAGCTGATTATGCGACTTGAGTCAAAGTCTCCTTTTTGTTGCATTAGGACAAGTTGCATCTCTCTAGAAAAATACACTGGCCTAGTCGTGATTCCAGAAACAGGAACCATCAAGTCTGATATTTCAAGTGACCATGTCCTGTTCAATTACTTAAAAGAGGCTTTTGCCCCTCATCACAGTCCATACCAATGTCCAAATATTTTAAATGGGTCCTTTTTTCTCTATTGGCTTCACGATGAAAACTCATGGGTCCGGAAGGTTGATGCAGCAGGTCTGTTGAGAAACTGGAAATATCGAACCGACTGTTTTCTTTCTTTCTTGGGCTCTAGATTCGATGACAGCAAGGGTCAGGAACACTGATTTAGGAGATCTCACTCAAACTGGCTTAGG